TTTTTTCTAAAATAGTGGAAAATGCACCCCCACTCCAAGACTCACAAAGCTATAATGATAACAAAATAAGATGTGTGCATCAGCATCATTGCACAAATGAGATGACGTATTTGGGACATAACACCTGGCACAAGAATATAAACTGCATGCTTTGCGCAGTGCATCGGCTATTATTTGTCTCTTCCTCACCCCTGACAATATATAGAATTGTGCCTTTGAAAGGGGCAATTTAGAGTCCAGTTCCCTGATTGGTATAGCAATTCACATTATAGCATTCCAAACAGGCACCTGACTGAATCCATTGAACCTGCCACCTCTCTGGATAATTGGTTCCATCATCAAGTTCTTTCAGTTATCAACCAATTGCTAAAATTCAATTGAAATCTGCCTTCCCATAACTTAAACCCACTATTCCATGTCCTGCACTCTACAACAAAGAAGAGCAGATCTTGACATTAGGACATTCATAGAATTCCTTTCTCTTCATAGGATCTTCGTTTCTGGTCTCCTGGTTGACCTCACCATCTTATTCTGAACCTCTTCTTATTTTTCGAAATTGATGCCCAAAAATCAACAGAGCATTTGAGATAGGATTGAATAAAGCAGGATGGGATGGAACAATTATTTACTTTAAGTTTGCAATCAACAACTAAGAATTCTTTCAGAAGTCTCATTACTAAACCACTTTGTCCACCAAACCTATAACTAAACACCTGAGTTTTTAACTTTTTAACTTTTAAAAAGTTGCATTTATCTATTAAACTGTCTTATGTTCAATTTATGATCTAACAAAATACCCAGTAGTTACTTCTACTACTGTCAAGTCAAGTCTCACTATACTATACTGAGCCTTTCATATTTTTTTTTCCTTTTAAGATGTAGGATCTTACATTTGTTCCTGCTGACTTTCATGGCTAAAGCAAGACTAGAACTCATGATCTCCCTCTTTCTAGCCTGGTGCTTTAAACTCGAGACTAAACTGGCTCTTAAAGCAAGATCACAATTTGTTTCTCTCAAAGGATGAATGGCAACTTTAGAAATGATGATAAAGGGGAGAATAAAAAGCTTCCTTCGAGCCGGAATTGAACCAGCGACCTAAGGATTTCAGTACAAGCAATTCTACAGTCCTCTGCTCTACCAGCTGAGCTATCAAAGGGATGCCTTTTTTTCCCCTCCTCCCAATTCTCTTTCTCTTCTAAAGAATTAGCCACTCCTCCTAGTTTCATATTATTCACAAATCTGGTAATTACCTCCTCAATCTTTCCATCCAGGTCATTAATAAGAATCTTAAACAGCATAAGGCCAAGACAGAACTCCCTGTGGCAGTCCGCTTAGCACTATTCTCCAAACTGATATTGAGGCATTCAGAAGTACTGTCTTATATTGTATAATCTAGCTCATATTTTACCAATTTATTAAGCTACATATGATCGGAGACTTTATCAAATGCATTGCTGAGATTATGTCTGCAGCATCTCCTGATCTATTAAGCTGGTGATTCTGTCAAAAATAGAGGTAAGGTTAATCTAGCATCACTTACTCGTAATAAAAGCCATTCTGGCTCTTGTGACTATGACATTCTTAACCAACTGATCACAAATACATTGTTCAATAGTCTTCCACAAGATGCTCAAAATTTCCCAGATCTCTCTTCCCTGTTTCTGGATTAGAACATTTGTCTTCCTGTAGTCTACTGAGGCACCCAGAATAAACAGATCATAGTTAGTAATGCTGATAATTTTTTCAGTACTCTGATTGTAAGTCTTGAATTCATGTCAATTGTCTTTGTGCAGTGGTCTCTCTGTAATTCCTTCATTTTTAATAGATTTCCTCTTAATAAGCTTACTTTTCAAGATGATAAGACAAGATGTGTTCTAGTTGCACCCGTCCCCATCTTTATGCACAAAAAAAATATTTTTTTACTCCCATGGGCACAGGATTGTTGCCCCCAACAATCAGGGTTCTTCTCCAGTTCCATGCCACTGCTCTTCCTCCCCCCACTCAATCCAAAGCATGTTGAAAGATCAAAAGATTCAGCACGATAATCACTAAGGAAAGGATTTTGGTGAGATATATGTATGCATCACCAAAGCTTCAGTCACATTAAGTGGAAGGTTGGTTCTAAATATTTCTATGGTAATGTTTCTATGTAATATGATCCAAATGTGTAAGAAATGACAAAAAGCCAACATTCTATTTCAATCAGAAGAAGAAAATCAGAAGAATTTCAAACTTGTATAGAAACTGTATTGTTGCAAGCCACAGCGGTCCTTTAATTGGTTCCCTGAAAGTCAGGCTACTCAATACTATTCAGGATGATCAACGTCCATTTGTCCTTTGACTGTGGGAAGGCAACTGCTTTACTTCTGACATAGCCTCCTGATGGGTCAAAGGTCAGTTACTCTATTCAAGGCTCCCAACCGCCTCTTCTTCCCTGCCCCATTTTTTAAAAAATAGAAAGTTTATTTTGATGCGGAATAAAGAATTCACCATTAATTTTAAGTTTAAACAGCACTTTTTCAGCAATTCTTTTTAAAAGCTCAGGGACGTATGAGTTGGTTTACTTATGTAAGAAAAGAGCTAGTTATTTATAGATCCTAAAGAAATATTTCAACAAATTAAAAATACCATATAATATGTATTTAAAATATCAAATAAAGGAAGCCGCTCACATTCACTTTCCTTGTTAGTACTCTTTCAGCCTCAAAGAAATTTAGTTTTGGGAATTAAAGACAAGAGATGGGAGAGTGAATTTGTCCTGCAACTCAATTTTTGAGTAAGATTTTGATCAGGATTTTCCCCCCAAAAAAATGTAAAACAAAATTAAGACACAAAAAATACAATTAAATTTTGAGATATTAACATGTTCTAAAATTCTGGACTGTTTTGTATTTTACCTATGTAAAAGTAACCATGCCAGAAGATCCTTTTATTCTTTACAAGGTTGAAAGAAATTCTTCAAACCTGAGCTGGAGATTAAAAGCGCCATTTTAAATATCATATGTAGAAATTACCTAGAATAAAAAATATTTCCCTATAAAAGTCATTACTTTGAAAGCCTGTCCTGAAATACAGCAAAGGCTTTGTTTCTTCAATATCCATCAAATAACTATAGGGAGAAAAAAAAATAGGAAGAATCATGTTGTCAGAAGGATCAATGAATTTGTTGGGTTTGCAGATAGAGGTGAAGAGTCTGACACTAGTGACCCCTGTTATGCCTCACAGACACTGTTTATCACAGCACAATACTTTAGAGAATGTCTGGGTGCAAATTCTGAATTTATTCTGAAGAAAATAATCACAAAGCTTGTGTGTGTGTGTGTGTGTGTGTGTGTGTGTGTGTGTGTGTTGGGGGGGGGAGTAGTGATTCTATAGGTTACATTTTATCTTTTAACTACGTTGTTTTACAGCAATTTAAATCAGGAAAACACTTCTAAAAATAGACAAATAGGTCAACATTTTTAATTATGCAATTATACAGAGTCATTAAGCAAATGTTGACAAGACAACCCACAAAACTGGTTTTGAAAGAGAATTAGGCAATTTTGCAGGCAGATGTCAGCGGCTCTTTGCTTTTCCTTCAGCTGGAATCTTGTAATCCACGTTAATTTGTTCCTGAAATGTACTATTTTCTGATAGAATCTCAAGTTTTCTTTCAATTTACTTTTGCGCCATTCACTTCAAATCAGCTGCACCTCCCGAATCCAAGATACTTCCCCATATACCTCTCTATAAAACCTGCTACAATTTTTTGCTCTCTCTCCTCTCTCTCCCACCTTTCAAACATGCTGCCAAACCAAGTTAGGAGAAAAAAAACTTTTAAGAGCTGGGAACAATGTTACCACAGGGTGCCAAATTTGCAGTGAAAGCCCCAAAGGCTGTTGTCACGCAACGTTTGACAAGGCTCACCAAATGGTTTCTTTAGGATATAAACGGCTTGTGAAGTGACTGAGGCCTTTGTATCTACAGCTGAATGCTGCAGATGGGAACGTTTCTGCCAAGAATGAATAACTGCTGTTTCTGCCATGTGAAGTTTTACACACATAATTAAGGAACGCACTTCTATGTATCTAGCAGTATTTTCCTGCCTGGGAGAGGGGCTGGGTAGGTTTCTCCCCCTCGAGGGAACAAAAAGGTTGGTTTTCTGGAACAATGGACAGCTAAAAATGCAACATGCAATTAATTGAAGTACATTATTATACAACCTATTATACGTTCTCTTACATTTTTGCCAAGGAAATAACACAGTGCTTAAGAAGTATAGTTGGTAAGTCAGAGCACAGAGCAAATGGCCAACTTGAGCATCCACACCAAAGATCTTGCCTGGTGTCTTTGAATTCTGATTTTTATTCTGTCAACACGTCCTAAAGTTTCTGGCATTTAAAAAAGTAGTCTGCCTTAGAAAACACACTGTGGTAACTGCACAAAGAAATATGTCCTTTCAGTATCTCAGGATCAAGATTAATACTCCCAACCTGAAGATTTACATCATATATTTTCTGGATTTCGTTATTTTTATTGTATAAAGTCAGCAAGCCTTGAACGTAACACAATTTCCAGCATGATGCATAAATTACCCAGACAGAATTAAACTGTAATACAATTCTCTTCTGGGAATTCTGAAGGAGAATATTATTTGTTTTAAATAGGTTTCTCCATGTTTGTCATTTGATAATGAATTCCAGACCTAACTTTCAATAAATTGATTTATTTTAATAGCCCAGCTCTAATATTTCTCTACTTCTTGGCCTTCTGACAGTGCAGCTCTGTATTTGCCTGGACTAAAGGCACCCCTCGGTCTCAGTTGAGTCAGGACAGGCTGGATCCTTTTAAAGTGAAATACAAACTCTTATGCTGGGGTTGGGGGTTTTTTTCTCCCAAACTTTTCTTCAGAAACTATCTCTGGTAAATGCAATGTTTCCAAAAAAAAACCAGGAAAACAAATCAATACGTTTTCTCTGGAACAGAACTGCAGTTATCTGAAAAAAAATCTCACTTACCTCAATTTTGTCAGTCTTTGCATCTCCCCAATAAAGTTTGTTTTCCTCAAGATCCAATGCCAAACCATTAGGCCATCCTAGAGAAGTATTCACCAGCACTTTCCTTTCAGTCCCATCCAGATAAGCAGACTCAATCTTTGGGTTTTCACCCCAGTCTGTCCAATACATATAACTTTTGTGGAAGGAGAACAACAGCAGTGTTAATTCTGATATGCAAGTATTCTATCAAATCTATTATTGCATTTTTAAGGCGTGCTTTTCAGCAAGATGCTTTTCCATGAACTGGCACTAAAGAGAAAGATTCATTCAAAGATTTCAAGTTTGTGAGATATACAAAAGGATAATAATATTATAAGGAATAACACTTTAAACGAGAAAGGAAATTTTTTACTTAAAAATCATGGACTTTGTTACCTAGAATAAATAGGCTGATGGTTGTATATTCCAAATTTACTAAATACTAATAATGAATATGCAGTTGAGAAAACATACTCTATTACACTGCCTTTTCGTCGTATGATGAAAAAGGTAATATTTTTAAAGTACAAGTGATCCTCAATTTATGACTGTTCATTTAACAAAGGTTCAAAATCACAATAGCCTTACAAAAAGTGACATTACCTACACTTACTCTTACAATCATCACACCACCCCTATAGTTACATGGTTGCAATTTGGGTTCTTGGCAACTGGGTTCTGGATCATGTGATCATTTTTAGCTGATTTACAGTGGAGGGGGGGGAATGCTCATTAGGGATGCTGGATTTGCTTAATGATCAAATGATTTGCTTAACAACCATTGTAAAAAAAATTGCTATAAAATTGGATCTGACTTATGACTGCAACAATTTACAATGGAAATTCCAGTCCCAATTGTGGTTGTTAAGTCAAGCAATAGCAATAGTAATAAGGCTTATATACCGCTTCATAGTGCTTTACTGATTTCTCTAAGCGGTTTACAGAGTCAGCATATTGCCCCCAACAATCAGGGTCCTCATTTTTCCAATGTCAGAAAGACAGAAGGCTGAGTAAATCTTGAGCCAGTGACAATATTGCATTCAAACCACTTCACCACCACGGCTCTACAAGGACTACCTGTAAATGTTCCATAGTATAGAAATACAAAGGCAGACCAACCATCATAGTTTTAATGTTTTAAAGTTTTAACAAATACTTGCAAGACTTACCCCATCACAGGATTGAGCACTATTGCTCTAGGTTCATCTAAGTTTTCTGAAATAAGGATCTTTCTTGAGGTCCCATTCAAACGTGTAACTTCAATCCGATCTGTACCAGTATCAGTCCAATACAAATTCCTACCCACCCAATCTACTGCAATGCCATCAGGATGATTTATCTCTGTTGTTACTAGAGTCTGGGCTCCAGATCCATCAAGAAATGCCCGGCGAATAGCTCTGACATCATCATCTGTCCAATATATGTAGCCCTCAACAGGGTCATAATCAATTGCAATAGCATGTCTAATATTGTCTATTTGCAGAATAACATCTGTGAAGTCTGGCATGTCCAGGGAAATTCTTCGTAAATCTGTTCTTCTAGCGAGCAAGAGAACTTCCTCAGCACCTAGGAAAAAAGTAGTAATCAGTAAACTACCAGTAAACAGTTCTTTCCTTGCGCCACACGGTTAAATTATTGCTTATGAAATTCAATTTCTAGTTTTCCGATTAACTTTACATTATGAAATGTATTGCGTAGAAAAAGGCAATCTGGTTGTGAAGGAAGATCACAATTTTTTCCTCCAATGGCAATAATGTTTTAGGAAGAACGTGGACAACAGAAATTTCTGCTTCTACTGATACAACTAAAAATATACATTTCCTAAGTACAACTCCTTGTATGAAGATACGCTCCCTGGGACTTTTCTCCATCTGAGAGATCATCATGATAGCAGGTTGTGTGATTCCTGATCTTACAGTTCACAGGAATAGTCATCTCAATCCCCATCGCCAATTGCAATGCATCTCCAATTATGGAAGAGGCACCAGGCAAATGCAGCACTCATTTTTGTATGTCCAAAAAGCAAGACAGGACTGTGTAAGATAATGGAAAAGATGAAATGGAAAACAGGGGTGCGCATACAGAGCTGCTTGAGGAGCCAGTCTGTTTTTGGAATTGGAATGTAAGAGGCAACAGATACTTCTGACAGAGTCATCCAGGGTATGAATTCAAATGCCCCTTTTCTGTCCTTGCTTCTGAGGAATTAACACACAGTAGATATGCCTCTATTGAGGTTATAAGCTATGAGGATGAAAAGCCATTAATTCACATTTTGCAGTCCACCTATAGTCAAGCACCAAAATAACACTGAATAATCAAATTCTTTAAAATATTATATGCATTGTTCTAAAGGCTGTGTTCTCTGAACACGATGCAAACTTCTAATGCTTTCAGTGCCTGTTTCTTGTATTATATTTCTTCTAAATCCTAAATAGTAGCCATAAAGACAGAAACTTCTAATGTGTTTATGAGAGCAAACAGAACTCTGCATATTTCATTGTAGATTTGTATAAAAGCATTGATAGTTGCCATTGTAGTCCTAATATTGTCTTTAAAACTGAAGTTCTAATATCATGTGTCAAAATGACATCTTTCTGAACTACTAACCATGGTCAAGTTCTCAGAGGATAGGAAATAGCTATTAGACAAAACTAAGCTTAAAATGTTGAACAAAGTTGCATACTATTGCTAAAACTAGGATCAAAGCCCAATTTCAGTCTAGATCCCTACTTGTACTTGATTATTCAGGCTAATTGGCTGTGTATCCGAAATTCCTTCCCATCCCACTTTTTTTTTTCAACTAGAATATTGGAGGACTCATACGTTTAATGACATCTGAATTGTACTAGATATTTTACTATTGAGATAAATTAAACAATACCATTTTAAAGAGTAAGAGTGGGATCTGTAGCTATTATATAGTATAGCTGAATATGTAAAGATTGCTCTTATTAAAATAAAAAGAAGCATGGAAAAAATGTTTCAAAAAATAGTTTTAAAATGTTTGCCTTTTTTTTGGCTAATACTGGGCACGAATATTCACACTGAAAGGATTTTTATGAACCTGAGGGAAATATTACTGCTATATGACAAAAACACCTTCATAAATCATTTTCAGAATCTGCTCTTCAAGGTATCAGAGTATTAAGCCCTCTCAAAAGCTTGTTAGTTATAATCTTTGACATTTTTAACATTTCTTTTCAATAGGGAATCATACTGCTAGGAACACTTATAATATTTCCATAATTTTTTCATGTTTCTTTCATATTTCTCTTCACTTAAATTTTTATAACACATTTATAATAATTAAAATGTTCCCCTCCTTTCCTAATTTCATTCTCTCATTGTCTTTATTTCATTTATTTATTAAAAATTCCATTACATTATAATCAGTATTTTATCTATCATTTTAATCACACTTGTTTCATATTTTCAAAGTTCATTTCTATTTCTAATATAACAATACTCTTATGTACTCTTGCAGAATCCCCCTTTCAATTAAGTTTTCGCCCATTATCTCTGTGCCTTCTAAATAGGCTTATACCCTTAATCCTTGTACATTTTCCCTGTTTCTCTATGTCCTGTTTCTGTCCTTTATAATTTCTTTTCTTTTCCCTCTTCCCCCTCTTCTTCCTTCCCTTTTTGACCCCTTCTCTCTCTAATTCTGATTCTCTCTTCTATAATTCTCTCTTCTGTTTCTTCCTAATGTTGTAATTACTTTTCAAACTATTCTTTTTTGGGGTTGTTTTTTCAAATCTTAAATTTTCCACTCTCTTTCCCCCCCTTTCCTTTCTTTTCCCCACATAGAAATACTTGGGCATTGAAGATGGTTTCTTCTTTATCCCACCCTTCTTGTTCTACAGGCATTTCTTGTTGTTTCTCATAGTTCAGGATCTCCATTTCTAAATATTGAAATACGAAGCCAAAAGAACCTCTTCCTTCTTGTGCATCTTCTTTGTTTTTTTAAGTTCCATTCTCAATTCTTCCAAGAGTGATACCATTTTAAAAACTTTTAAACCACCCGATTAATTTTAGTCTTTTAGATCCAATAGCCAAAAATCCAAAAATCACCAAGTAATCCAAATAATCCAAAGCTGTTTCTTCTTGCTTCTTTTTTCCACTTTCTCTTCCTGGGGTTCTCTTTATCTTGTTACAAAGTTTCAGTTAAAATGTATCTTTTAGGAATCTTGTTAAAGTTTCACTGTTAATTCCTTTCACTTCCAGGTGGTCTCCTCCATTTTTCCAGATCCCACCCTTTTGTTTTTTTCTTTCTTTTAAAATTTTTTGAGAATCCAGAAATCTTTATTATCCCTTTGACATTTTATTTTCAGCTTAAATACCTGTTAATGTCAAAGTGGATTTTTGCCAGTTTCTTGCTTAAATCTCTTAGTTGTCAGTATAGGGAAGAAAAAAAAAAAACCCAAATCCTTTCCCTTCCCTCTCTCATTCACCGCTTCAGTCTTCTTTGGGAACAATGCTATTTTTTTTATAGTTTAAATTCCAGGGTACCTTACGTTGTTGCTTTTGCAGTTTAACCCGGTCAACCAAAACTTTCTCTTATCTTCCTCCTGCACATTCTTTTCCGGTCGAGTTCTTCTTTGAGGTGGCCATTTCTGACCACCGCTGCAACCGCCTTCGGGAAAGGGAGTAATGGCTAGCTGGGGAGGAGAGATGCGACTCTCCTCGACCCTGCTGGCAGTCTCCCCCCTCTTCACCACCTCTACGGGGTGGCTTAGCCCCGAAAGCAGCCGGCTCGGGGCGCTCCAGCGGCAAGCACAGATTGAAACTGCGCATGATCACAGATTTCGGTCTGTTGCTGAAGAAACATAAACCTGTTTCTTCACATATTTGCTTTTTCTTGCATTAGTATTACTTATTATACTTATTATTTCATTATTTTGTTATGCTTTGTTAAATTATTAGTATTAGTGTAGACCAGTGGTTCTCAACCTGTGGTCCACGAACCACTGGGGGTGGGGTTTTGTAATGTCATCCATCGTATAGGGATTCTGTAAATAATTGAAGATATGTTATGATTTAAATCTTGAGTTAAGTTATGTCTCCGTGGCTATGGTCCATAGCCACAAAATATATTTATTTATTTTCAAAATTACACATCTCTATTTACATTGTTAACAGTATTGTGTCATCAATATTACATATATTTACATTTATTTCTATACATTAATCCTTATTCCTATGTTCTATACACTTGTACTATTTATCCCATACCGCATAATACTCTGATTCCTCCTTACCCTTTTAGTTCTATTGCAAGTTTATCCATCTCAGCACATTCTAATATATTTTTATTAACACCTCTTTGGATGGTATGTTTTCTAATTTCCAACTCTGCGTGAAAACTATCCTTGCTGCTGTTATTATATGCAATATGATGTATTGGATTTGTTTGCTAAATTTCCCTTTAATTATTCCCAGTAGGAATACTTCAGGTTTAAATTCTATGTGGTGTTCTGTTATCTCCAACCACAAAAGATATTTACAGAGGGTCCGTGGTGAAGAAAAAGTTGGGGACCGCTGGTCTAGACTCTAGACCATGGGAAAGAACTGGCCTGAATTAATTCTTCAAGGTGCAACTTATTTAGTCAGTATTCCTGTAGTTAATATTAGATTAATATTTAAGCAGCAACAACTGGCATCTTAGCTGCTCTTTTTCCTACCCTCATGCCTCTTAACTGGTTGCCAGAAAGCTGCTTTGTTGGGTTATAGCTGTCCTTATTATGATGGATAATACATTTCAGAGCACATGGACAAATTCCACATCTGAATGTTTCTGAAGGAGATATGAATTGCAAGCAAGAACTGCCTCTCTCTCTCTTCCTACCTCTCTCTCTTCCTGCCTAGTTCAAACTCTCCTGGTCCCTGTTAGTCATTTTTCTACTCAAGAGGTGAGCATTAAAGTTGCAATTTATCTATCTGCTGGATTTGGATTGGTGCAGTTAACTCTCTTCAAATTATATCATTTGTTTTGCATGGGTAGATCAAACCTCAGCCCATAACCCCATATTCATAAATGAAATGAAGAACGAATCTTGGTCTGATATCCAATGTTCTGCTTTATACTGCACTATGTAGCTTTTTAGCAAGCCACTATCTTCTGCAATAGCTTCATGAGCTCTTCAAATGAAGCACTCTTAAAGTTAATAGTTTATTAAGGATAGTTGCATGTAGCATTTAAGTTTCAGTTTCCATTGATAGTTGGAAAGGTTCAAGATTGTAAACAGGATTGTCAACATCGTACTTGTCTGTAGCATCTTGAAGGCATATCTTTTCCTGGGATTACCTGACAGATTGTTTCTAGGAAAGACTGCAGCTTCATTACAACATTTTTATAGTAATTTTACTAAAAACTCCTGTCAGCCTTGGAAGCCAAGTTTTACTTGGAAGCTTTGAGGCTGCCACATTTAGTGCCTGACAACGACAATTAAAAGAAAAAACTAATACAAAGTGAAAAAAAAATAAAAATAACAATAGAAAGCATAGAAAAGGGAAAACTAGGAATGAAAAAATAATATAGCAAAGGAAAAAAAGAAATATATAAATGA